TGCTTCTGAGCTAGTTGGCCGCTTGTTTATCTTGAAGCCTTTAAGACCCCAGATGCTATATCTTTTGATAGCCTGGCACCATCAGCTTTCTTCACCACCTTTGCTTATACACACGTTTGTCTTCAGTGATCGTATCAGGAAGGTGGGCACCCACTGGTATGATTTTTAGTTCTTTGATCTCTGATAACAGGTCCCTTCTGCACCTTGTGGTCAGACAGGCTGGTATGCTACTTCCATGTGGGCTTTGATGCTTCTGAGCTAGATGGCCGCTTGTTTATCTTCAAGCTTTTAAGACTCCAGACGCTATATCATTTGATAGCCGGGCACCATTAGCTCTCTTCCCCACATTTGCTTATGCACCCATTTGTCGTCAGTGATTGTGTCAATAAAGCGGGCACCCACTGATATGATTTTCAGTTCTTTGATGTCTTATAACTGATCCCTTATGACAAAGTGGTGGTGGGCATCTGTGAGGGACTCAAACGATGCTCCTTTTAAATGTTCTTTGAGTTTAGGGAATGAAAAGTCTGAAGGAGCGAAACCGGAGCAGTAGGGTAGATGGGATAAGGTTCCCTAACTACATTCTCCTGAGACAGCCCTTGGTACCCTTGAAGAAGGAGTAAATACTTTGCCAGGATGGAAAAAACTCCTCAGTTCCCAGCCTTTTCCTCACCAACGCAGCTCTCCGCTTTCTTCAAACTTCTCCAGCACAAGCCCCTGCGTGTCCTTTGAGAAACTCTACCAAGATCTCCCCCACTGGGTTCCCCCAAAACATTTGTGTACCTTCTTAGCTGGCCTCTGCCTTGTATTTAATTGGCCCCGAAGATACTCCTAGAAGCCTGATGTGATGGTATCTTTTTTTGAAGGCATCTTAACGAGACGAGGGAGTTTTAGTGGCACAGTGGTGATGTGTTGGGTTGCTTGCTGCAAGGCATGCAAGTTCAGAACCACCAGCGGTTCAATGGGAGAGAGATGAGGCTGTCTATTCCCCTAAAGAATTATAGTCTCAGAAACCCGCAGGGCAGTTCTACCCTGATCCATAGGGTTGCTATGAGCCAGTGTTGACTTGACAACACGGAGTCTGATGAGACTAAGATGGGTGTATTACAGAGAGTGTCTCTGCAGCCACACTGATTGCAGAGACTGGTTTAAACAGGTTTCCCTTGGAATAAGTGATTAAATATGTGCCCTGGAACCCTGGTAGCAATGCCTTTTGACTTAGCTTCTAGAGTTGCTTAAAAACATTCTGGGATTCTAGGTGCCAGCTCCCCGAGTTGAATCTTTAGGTGACCTAACTGCCTTTTAAAAAATGAATTCTGTATTGTTTCCATTTTCTAGTATTAAAAAGTAGTCCAAAGAAGCAAATTTTTAGAAACCAGCTGTCTTAAGGTCTCCCGATTCTCTGTGTTGGTTGGGATCAGCTGGGCGGTTCTTCTGCTGTGCACGATGTCAGTTGAGGCTGCAGGGGAATATCCAGCTGACTCATATGCCTCCCCCACGTGGCTGGTGGTTGGGGTTGGCTGTCAACGGGAGCTCCATGGAGACTGTTACCTGGAGTTCCTGCCCAAGGTCGTGGCTTCAATTACAACTGGATTCTAAGAGGCAGGAAAAGCAAACTGCTAGTTCTCTTAGGACCTGGGATGAGCAAGCATTGCTCCAAGTGAGCAGTAGTGTGCTTGTAGTGTGCTTGTAGTGTGCTTGTCCGGGAACCGTGAAATCGCTGGGGAGCTTGGGGAGGAGGATGCACCTGTCAATACAGTGAATCCTCATTTATCGCGGTTAATCGGTTCTAGACCCTACTGTGATAAATGAAATTC